TCCATGTTTAAAAATAGTATGATCAGCAGCTCCTTCATATGTGTGCAGTGGCATTAGATAAGGGAGTTAGTCTTCACCTCTTCTGCCTAGCCTGTTGCTAGCAGCTGTTTGAAGATCCAGTGAGGATACATCCATGTTTGAAAAAGATGGATGGCATGGTATTGTAGGTTGTACACTTAGAGATTTTTTCCCATAAATTCCCATACAGTTCTTTATTGTATCCATTTTTTTTGGCTGGAACAGGTCAACTGGAGTGCTAGGTTGAGCCTTTCAAACACCTGCACTCATCATCTGGTACTGAGTAACTTTTTTTCGTGTTTCATCCTTAACAGAGATGCATCACTGATGGCTATGAGAAGGCGTATCGAAGGCTTGACACCAGAAGAAATAAGAAATCTTTCTCGAGATGATATGCACATGCCAACAACTATGGAAGACTTTGAAATAGCTTTGAAGAAAGTTTCTAAATCTGTGTCTGCTGCAGACATTGAGAAATATGAGAAATGGATAGTTGAATTTGGATCATGCTGAGTTGTCTTATCTTGAAGAAGCCGCCTTAAAACAGCTTTAGAAGTCATAGTGTGTTGGTGCACTGTGTGCTCTTTTTAACTTTTGTAATTTAAGGGCAACAGCTGTCTAAATAAATATCTTTTTTTTTTAAAATGCAAATTCTGTCTAGCTCTCTTTGAACTAGCTCAATAGTTACTCATTTTTCTTAAATGCAAAAGATACTGGTGGGGTCTGTTTTGATCTTCAAGATTTTAAAGTGGCTTAAATTTAATACTAGGACTCTTGCATCAAGAGGGTTTACTCTTGAAAAACAGCTATTGCACAAAAGAAAATCAAACTAGCCCTGCTAAAGGAGAGAGAGATGCTGAGGACTAGAAAATGGGGTGAACAAGATGCAGTTATGTAGATGTTTTTGCCAGCTGATCTTTGAGAACTGTATCCTTAAGCTGTTTCTAAGGCATTAATAAAGAACCTGTATCAAGTCTGATATTCGGAACAGCAACCCTTGCACTGCTCCCAGTCAGTAGATTCAGCTGGAGTTTAAGCAAGGGGTAGGATCACTGCTGGTTTACTATGTAATATTAAAATACATCCAGCTAGTGTAAACTAATTCCATGCAGCCAGCAGTGACACAGAGTCATGTATATGAAATCTAAATTCTCTGCTTTACTTGAGTGGAATGTAGAAGCTGTTCTCTGAGAATGACCAAAATGGCCACTGTAGAATCATTGTTTTAGATTTTGCTCAACAGTGGTCATTGTAACTAAAATGTCCATCATTTCTGTCTGTCTCCTCTTATTTTGGAAACGCTTCTGCTAGCTCAGCCCAGAGCAACTGGTTGTAGTTCTGCTTATAACTAAACTTTGTGCATTTTCCTGAATTGAATACATCTAGACTTGTTTCAGCTGGCAGATACATGCTGTATGAAACTGGTAGATCTACTGGAGGTAGGTGGGAAGGACAACTGATAATGAAAAGTTGCAGTCTGAGTAGAAGGCAAATGCATCCTAAGTACACAGTTGAGTAAGTGCCGTTATCGTGAACATCTTGTCTATGTATTTAAAATTCCCCACTATGTCACAAGTGACAGCGGGGTGTGCTGAAAGGGGACCTGTAACAATGCTGGTAATGAGACACTCCACTAAGATGCTAAGATGCAGACAGTGTTAAAAGCTCCCAAGTCCCTGGGTGGACTGGGCGTGATGAACCCAGAAATGAAGAAGCTCAGGTGAGTACACAAGTGTGTGCATTTATAGACCTCCATTTCCAAAACAGAAAACAAAATATACCTCTTTCCTTTCAAAAGGATAGCCATGTGCATCAGAGTTAAGAAAAAGATGCAGCATTTTGAAGTGGGTTCTCTTAATACTTACTTTGCTATGTTAGGATGAGTGTATAGCTGCCAGCTGTGCTGCAGATTTCTTCTCATAAATCAATTAACTGCAAGCAAATTAAAATACTCAATCTGACACCTGAGTCTGAAGGGAAAGTAGGCAAGCTTTAGGCTTTGGAACCAGTCCAGCAAGGGGCCACTTAGACTGAAGGCATGATGTATTTTGAGAACTTCTAAAGTAAACTACATGTTAAAAGCAGTAGTTTAGTTCTACAGCTCAACCAGCCCTGTCTACTCTAAATGAACAAAGTGAACACCTGTGTAATATGTGGTAGAGAGGGGAAAAAAAGTGGTTGGTGCTGAATTTGTAGCTGAGAGGTTCCCTTTGTTTTGGAATGCAGAACATGACAATACCAACCCCCTCCAGTGGAGTTCCTGCATGGAGAGAAGGGCCAGTGCTGCTTAACCGTGTGTCTACAAGGCAGAGAGACGTTGTAAGGATGAGACAAAAGAAAGGCTGCAGTAAGAGTCACGGTTCATCAGGTAAGACAGATTGCCTTCCCCAAAATTCTACTGCCATCCTACAGAAGAGGGTGTTTTGTGTGTGTTTGTTGGTTTATTGTTCCTCCCCTACCCTTTTCATTCCCCCATCTGGCACCTGTATCCTTGTCATGTCCTGGGAACATGGGACCTGCTGTGACTGTCAGGTGGGCCAGTTGCCCTTTCCTTACTGTGTTAGTTGGGGTAAGGAGTTTTTTAACTGGTTTACAAAATGGTTCAGAGTGGTCTCAGGTCTAAGTAGCACTCCTCTGAAAGGCATGAGACTTGTGGTCAGAAAAACCCACGTGCACCAGTCTTCTGGAAAAGCCGAGCACTAGTGCTTTAACGTTTTGATAGCTCCAGCTCCCCAGCACAGCAATGTTGTCTGGCAGTTACCATGTTCAAGATTTGCACTATTTTCCTATTTTAATGTCATTAACCGGACGGTAGTGTTTCTCTCCTCGTGCTTTGTAGCTTCACAGAACACAATACAGAGGAGGATTATGTAGCTCATAATCAATGAGATCAGGCTCATTGTGAAGCAGCACCAACCCTTTTTCAGGCTTAACTGCTTATTGATGTTGCACCTGTTCAGAGTCAGTCCAATCTCCTCGTGGCCCTGCAGGTGCTTGGTTTACAGTTTCCTGAGCAGGGGTGGAAAGAGCACATGCTGACAGCTGCCCAGTTTCCATCTGCAGTGCAGCTCATCTGTGCTCGTGCAGCAAGGAAGAACAGTTGTATTCTGTGGCCAGCCTGCTGCTTTTTTCTGAAGAAGCAAATCTTCAGCCTTTTATATGTCACTTCTGTTAACGAAGGAGCCAGGACTGTGTTCAGAATGTGGAAAGAACATTAATTTCCACAGAGAGAGGAGTTTGTTGACAGCTGTTTGAGCACTTGCTCTTGTCTGCGCAGTCACCATTCCTGCGCTAGAGCCTTGGCAGTGTCCCATTTAGCCATGGGTGACAGTGGCCCCTCTGGCACATGTTTTCCTCCACTGAATGGCAATCCTGATGCAGATGCCTCTGTAGCTCTGGCACCCCCTCTCTTACATGGCTATGTTGTTATGATGGCAGGTTTCTTGTGGTGTGATCCTGGAGAGCACTGCCTGGGGCCCTGGGGCCCTCAGTCACTGCCAGCTGCTCCAGAGCAGCAGTGTTGCTGCCTCGCTGGAGTGTTCCACAGCCACCCAAAGCACCCAGCCAGCTGTGACACATCCCCCACTTTATCACCTCTACCCAGCCTGTGTCTGGCAGACTTGTGGGATCCTACACACTAACAACAGTGAGCTTGAAGAACTCAATGCAAAATGCAAACCTACAAGTGCTAGAACAAAAAATGAAATTAAAAAAAAAAAGGAAGTTAACCAGTGTCCATTAACTCAGGCTGACAGAACGTGCTCCCCCACCCAGTGCTGCAGTGTGGTGTTTGGGGTTTTTTTGTAAAGCAGGTCAGTGTTAGAAATGTCTCTTCTACTCCTGCAGGGGGGTCAGTAGTGAGACAACCCGAGTTGTCACACACCAGCTGTAAGGAGAAGTACCCAAATAACAGACCGATCTCTCCTTAAGGGGAGAAGTGTGTTTGTGGGAAATCTTTTCTCTGAGCTTTCCTCCCTCACTCTGACAACTCAAGCTGGGTAATTCTGATCACTCAAATGATAACTGGGCTCCATCTAATGCCAGGTGGTTAATATTCTTTTTTTATCCTAGGCATTCTTCTGACAAACAATTTTTGTAAATAAGAACAACAGAAAGCTAAAAACTAAACCATATCCTGCATGTAACACATCTGGCAAACTGCTGGTTTATATAACTAAACATAGATGGACACACGAACACCGTCTAATAAACAATTTAAATGTTTATTTGAAAAATATTACCTGTACAAATTGGAATGGGCAGACTGGGCCTACTTAGCAATAGTAAGCCACTCTTAAAATTTTGGAGAATTTTTTTTGATACTTCACACAGTACTGCTGTCACAGATACAAAAAGCACATCATTTACAAGTGCTAACAATTTTTGTGAGTGGAAGGGGCCACAAAAGTGTAAAGTGCTTGAAATACATATCCGCTCTTTCGTTTTTGTTTTGCATATACAAAATGTCAAATTACTTGAGCAACACAAACGTTTGGTAGTGATATTTTTCCCTTGAAGGCACACTCAACCCTAAGAGACCTGAAACCAGCAGCTTTGTTTAGGCTTGCAGGCACAGCTGATGTCTGCAATGTTCCTTTGTCTTCTTCTGAAGAATACTATCAGGAGACTTCAGGGCACCCTGAATTTCATCATCTTGCTATTCAGGACAGCTGGCCTGGCTTATCTATGGGTGTGAAGGCAGCCAGCGTCCTGTCCGAGGTGTGGAAAAGTGACTTCACAGAAGTTAGAACCCATGGCAGCCCTCAGAGTGGGAAGCTGGTTTACTCTGAAGCTCCTGGCTGGGTGTTTATGGAGAGGCACAGGGAAGGCAGCTTTGGGCCTCAGCCCGAGTGTCCCTTCACCAATTAACCAACTGACTTAAGTTTTTTCAGTAGGAAACAAGCTATTAAAGGTAAGTGCCAAATTTCAGGTCAACTAAGAATTTGTTTTTATAAAACATCAACTCCAAAGTAAACACAGTATTAAATACACGCTTTCTCATCTAAATTATTTTTCCTGTCTGGAAGATCTGATGGCAAGCTGATGGTAACCACAGGTACAACGCTGACTTGATCCAGGAGAAGGATGCCTCTGAAAGGTAAGATTACCTGGCATTAGAAAACAATATACAAACCAATTCTGTGTTCTACAAATTAGATTTAAACTCCTCAAAACTTAGTTTAAATTGATGCATCAAGCAATATGACCCTCATAATACCCCTTTTATGAAGGCAGAGTGAAAACTTGATGGAGAAGTGGTTTCAAAATGCCTGTGGTTTCAGAGAAGTCCCTTCACCCAGATCCTACATGGGAAATACCAGCACTGTAGGCTCTCCATGCTCAGTGTCATGGCAGCCTAGCACTGTCTGCTGCCAGGAGCTACTCTGGCAGGCTCCTGCACCTCATTCTGCAAGACCAGCCAGAGCCTCTAGTTCTGTCGGTGTACTGTACAGTGCTGTGAACGACCTGGGATGAGGTCCTGATCACACCTGCAACTATCATTCACCAAATGAGACTATTCACCAAATGAGACCTTCTGCTCATTCTTACTGGTTTATTGCTTTCTACCTTTACTTTTTTTACCCACTTTATATGGGTAGCAAGAAAATGAGCGTGTGTTTTGGTTTTTTTTGGGCAGTTTTGTTTTTAAAAAGGGGAGGAAGGACCCTCCTTCCAGGGTTACAATTTCTTGAAATGCTCTAACAAGCCATGCACAAGCTCCATGCTCTCCAGCTGGAAGAGAAATTACTGCAGGCTGGTTCCTCTGCTCGGTACTGACCGCTGCCATGGGCAGCACATCAAAACCTTTGCAGAACAGTTTATGGGGATGGGAATTTTTTTCCTAGTTCTACTTAGTCCAAAGTTTCACACGTGGCAGTGTCAAGCTACTTACTCCTGGGGGTAGAGGGAGTGTACAAAGTGTTTTTTTTCACTTCTGCTGTAACAGACTAGTTACAAGAAGTACTCCAATTGGACAGCAGGCTTCCTGAACTGTCAGTGGGAAGCATGGGTGGGCTCTTCCGGCACTGCAGTTTCCAACCTTCCTTATCTTCCAACACTCCATTTTTCTAGCTCTGTCAAAGGACTACGGTCACTCATATCCTTGGCTGAATACTTAAATCAACTGTCCCCAGGGCCATTCAGAAGCACAGCTGGTGAGCTGCATTTAAAGGCACCAGCTGTGCTTGTTGTGGGGGATGAAGCATACGGCACTGTCAGTCACTTCTCCTGAAAGAATGGATGGTTCAAAGGGATGGGTCTTCCAGAACTGACTTGCTTTAAAATGTACACATTTGCCTATTCCAGCACTAAATCTATACAGCTAAGAAGCCAGTAATTACCAATTCATCTTTCTGCCCTTGTTTTGAGAGCTCACTCCTCTGTTGCTGGTAACACCCTCACTGAGTGAATAAAGCCATCTGCACTCCATCAGCTTTATTTATGACCTTTTGCCACCAATGCCAGCACCAATCACTGTGGCTTGTAAGCTGCTTGTACAGGTGGCTCCTCCTTGGAGAGCTCCCCCACAAACCTGCAAAGCCAGATCTGAGGCCTTTCACAACTACTATAGTAACTCCAACACAGTAGCAATATTAAAAGATTTAGGGTTGTTGTAATTGTTTAGCTCTAGCTTGTATCCTCCTCTCCAGGAGCTACGTTAACCATGCCTCACAGTGTAGTCCTTAAAAGATTTGATAAAAATTTGGCAGTATGACAGCCAAGCTGAAGACATTTCCAATGAAAGATTTTCCCATGTTCCTCTGAAAAGCCTATCTGTCAAAAGGTCACTTGGAATGGAAGGTTACTGGCAGCCTACTCACTGAATTGTTGTCACCATCTTCCTACAGAATGGGGCTGCTTCTTGAAAGGCTGGTTGGGGTTTTTTTAAGTTAATATTTTGCCTTCATCAGAGGAAAACAAAAAAAGCAAAAATTACTTACTTGTTTTCACAGGAAGGGAAAATCATCTTTAAGACTTTGAGAATAAGAGCTGCTCCAACAACTCCAACTACAACGACTTCCATGAAACTAAAGAAGATGGGTAAAGATCGAAACCAGAATCTGCACAACCCTTTTCTCAAGTCTTCCACCCACTGGCACATCACCTGAAACCAAACAGGTAAAAATTAAAAAGACATGTTGCAAAACATAACAAGTGTAGTTCTTGTAGCTACTGGTGAATCACATTACGTGGTGATAGTTTTACTTGAATTTCTGTATGCTTAAGCATGCATAAAGGCAGGATGGAATTGACTGGTGACTCAGACCTTTTTCTAATACAGCTTTGGGAACAGGTGAACCTTTAGTTCTCTGCTCATCCCGGCAGAGTTCCCTGAAAAGAAAGGCTACTTTGGCAAGTGAAGGACACCTGAACAGAGCAGATGAAGGGTGAGCTATCTGGCCTAGCCATGGAGAAGCCATGGTACCAGTGCAGTGTACAGCAGGGAAAGGGTTACACACAGCTCAGGAGACTGGTAGCATCTTCTCTACCCTAGCTGCAACTTTCAGTCTGCTGTTTTGGCTCTCCTGCCTTGGCACTAAGTTATAAAGTGTTTCTTTCGGCCACAGAGGGGGCCCATACAGCCCATCCTGACCCAGTCTGGAACTGAAACTTCTCAAGCTGTTACTGTGTTTCTTACAGTGGATGAGACCAAGGACCCATCTCTCCTACAAGGTCATGCACTCAAGCAGGGTCACAAAAAACTGAGGTAATTTAAAGCTGAACAATATTTGAAATTTATATAAATTCTTAGCTTGTTAGAATGTAAATATCACAATTCACTGTTGTGAAGTACTTATGAGGTCAGAACATTGCATGATTTAGAAACCAATTTGATTCCTACTGGAGAAAGAAAACCGCAACAATTTCTCACTACTAAGGAATAATTTAGGAAGTTGGGGGTTTTTTTCAAGTTTCCCAGTAAAAGTCTGTTCTTAGTGGTTGGCTATGGGGATTTCTTAGATTTCTGTGGCTGTCAGTTGCTGTCAGATACCTCATGCAACAGAAAACTGTCTTTAACAAATATAAAGCAGCAAAACGGTACTTTGAGAACTCAATACTAGTTTAAGTAGGAAGGGCAATTCTCTCTTACAGAAACTAGTTATTAAATACTATGTTGCTGCTTTTTAAATTAAAAACAAATGACCAAAGATAAAGGCCTAGGAACATTAAATACCTTCTCACCATCTTGAAATGTTGTGTTTGGTCTCTACATGAGTAAAACCCATTATCTGCATCCTAACAATGCTGGGTCTGTTGCATGTAGACATGCACAAAGGAGGAAGGAACTTTATTACCTCAAACTGTAATATTAAATAACATTCAGCTCTATCTGCAGCATTTTACTACAACTTTTTCTCCTACAAATGTCACCAAGCTTTATGCATTTCATCTCTGAGTAATAGAGGAAGAAAAAAAAAAAAAAGGAGGGAAAAAACCTACTTCTCCTTTTTAGACCCGTCTTTAAAGGTATATACTAATACTGAAACAAACAACAAACCTACCTTGTAAGAAGATGGAGGTTCTATCCTAAGAGGGGTCTCTGGTAACTTGCCAGGTAATGTCTCTTCATCTACTGTAGTTTCTACTTGCTGGATGAGGTACTGACTGGTAGTTTGTAGTGGATCTTGAATATCTGAAGAAAAGAGATTTAGTTGGAGGCTTGCTTTTTATTTGACTCCGTATTCAGGAAAGTGAAGGCATGCTGCACTTCTATACTTATGGTACAGTTCTCACACATTTACAGGAAGAATACAGAAGGCTGACTTTTTTTTTTTTTCTTGACTTGTAATGAACTTGCTAAGGAGGAGAAGCCAGGTTACAGAGCAACCTTTAGCCGTGCCTTTAGTTCTGCGTTTAAGCTGTTGCCATATTAAGATGAATATTTTGACCTAGTTCATCGCATCTCCTATGAAATCCTTGAGTGTTTCTGATTAAACAAAACTGAAATAAGATTAAGGCATAAAATAACTGCTTTTGCTTTTAAGTTATTCAAGTTTAATAACATAACAATGTTTAATGGTTTGGAAGTGACCCAGATACATATTTCCTCTCCAGTTTCTCTTTCATTCTCAGGAAAAAAGGGGAGCTTTAGAGAAACTTCCACCATAGCACTGAAAGAAATCTTTATTCCTGTGAGGTGTGCGTGTTGCAGGCTGACAAGTACAAAGTGCTTCAAAGGAGAACAGATTTGAAAACAAAATACCTAGAATGTAGAAGAGTTGAATATAGGTGTTTAAAAAAAACTGACACAAAACAACAAACCACATAAACCAAAACACCCCCCTGTTAATGAAGAAACTGTTTCACTGTGTAAAACAGGAATAATTATGTTCTTTCACCCTTGTATCCATAGTTGATGTAACAGTTGAGAGATACCTTTTCCTGAGAGGTTGGGAAGCGTAAATAACATGTCGTTGTCCCTTGGGATGGAATACAGCATGCTCTCTTTCAAAGGGACGGTGTAGTTGGAATGTCGAAGTACTCTCAAGTCCTTTACTAAAATATCTATTTCTGTTACTTCTTCTTGCTGAACCTACAAGAGACACAAACATGTTGATATTACTGAGTTTAAGAGTTAAGCAGGCTGGCAGAGAAAACCAATACATCACAGAAAACCCCAAGCCATTAAGATTTAGACATAGGGATAACATGAATTCTTAATTTCTACTTACTACACCTCAATAGACACTAGTCTGTTCAGTGTATTTTCTTTCTCCCTGCAAAAACACATGGCAGTCACTCCATGAGCTTTTTAACCAAGTCTTACACAGCTCATTACAATGCTCTTCCAGGGAGGCATTTTAGGGCATGGAATACTCAAGTACGCAGTGAAAGAGCACTTGCAAATGCTGGAAGTGTTGCTGAGGCAAGACTGACACTTTTGCAGGAGTGTTGCTTTTTTTAAGCAACCAAAAGAATAGTTTTATTCCTCCTCTTCCAGCGATGCACTGGACCCATCTCACTTAATAATCCCTTCACATCAAGAACTGCATTGTAGGGCCAAGAACTGACAGAAATCCAGAGTGTCTGTGACCACAGCTGCAACATATAACCAACAGAAGAATGCAGCCTGTGAACCAGTTTCTGTCATGCTTTCAGAGCTATAGCCAACCAATGGCTGCTTTTGCTTCAGCTGTGGGCAGAAGGCAGCAATGCAACAGATGATCATTACTGTCAGCTGGTAACTAATGAGACAGATTGAAAGCTTTTGACTTTAAGGAATAGCTAAGGAATAAGTATTAGCTTTCTGGTTGTTCTTACCAGGTCCCTGTGAAAATCTGAAATGCATTTGGATGTCTAGTTTGAAATCTGAAATACACCACCACCGTTGTTTACCAGCTGAATCAAAGCAGGATATATCTGCCTGCTAAAATAGCCGGTGGGATAAACACCCAATTACAAAAGCTTCAAACCTCCCAGTGGGATTTTTCATGACCAGAGGAAAATTTTTTTTACCAGAGTAAAACATGATGCAGATCTCTGTAAAAATTAATACATGCTGAACATGCAATTGATTAAGGATCCATGTTACTATTGTAATTCTCTTTTTATTAAAAACAAAATTTTAAAAAAGGCACTAAAACATAAGCCCACTTCAAAAGAGCCTGGCCACATGTAAGATGCAGAGGTACTGAAACAAAAGGGGAAGATTACGGAACGGTTCATCTTGGGGGAGATCAAGCAGCAAGTGTGGGACAACAGCAGGTTCAGATCCAGCCAACATGGGCTCATGAAGGGCAAGTCCTGTTTCACCAACCTAATCTCCTTCTGTGATCAGGTGACCTGTCTAGTGGATGAGGGAAAAGCGCTGGATGTTGTCTGCCTGGACTTCAGCAAGGCTTTTGATGCAGTTTCCCACAGCATTCTGCCGGAGAAGCTGGTGGCTCATGGCCTAGAGAGGTGGACTCTTCACTGGGTTAAAAACTGGCTGGATGGCCGAATGGATTTAAATCCCATGGGCATCCAGCATGAGTGGTGTCCCTCAGGGCTCGGTTTTGGGACTGGTCTTAATAACTTTATCAATGACCTGGATGAGGGGATTGAGTGCACCCTCAGTAAATTTGATTTATTAGCAGATGACAGGAAATTAAGTGGGAGTGTCGATCTTCTGGAGGGCAGGAAGGCTCTGCAGAGGGATCTGGACAGGCTGGTGCAATGGCCTGAGGTCAGTTGTATGAGGGTTAACAACACCAAGTGCCGGGCCCTGCACTTGGGTCACAACATCCCCAGGCAATGCTCCAGGCTTGGAGAGGAGTGGCTGGAAAGCTGCCTGTCAGAAAAGGACCTGGGGGTGCTGGTGGACAGCCAGCTGAACATGAGCCAGCAGTGCCCAGGTGGCCAAGAAGGCCAGTGGCATCCTGACCTGTATCAGAAACTGTGTGGCCAGCAGGCATAGGGAGGTGATCGTGCCCCTG